GAGTCTGTATCAGAGCCAGGAATTAAAGTCCCATTTCAGTGCCTTAACCACAAGAACCAGAGTGGTGATTAGACTGCAAGGCAGCAATCCCTGACCTCATTGCTGTGGAGGGCAAAACTCCCCTCAGTTCAGTGGGGCCAGGATTTCACACCCTGGGCTCTTAGCTTTGTGCTTTACCCTCCCCATCCAAGATTTGTGCTGATCCTAAACTGCCCACTCTTGAGGGAGATTGAGGAGTGACCTGGCTTTTTTGTGGGTTTGTGGCTCTACAGACTGACTTGGCTTTGACGGGGAACGTTCTGCCTCTACTTTTTCTGAAGATCTGTTTTCTTCCAAATTCCTGTAAGGATTTACAAGGCCTGTGCAATTTGGCAGCAGTGCCGACAACGGCTCACGAAGCAAAACCATGGCAAACAGCTCATGTAGGTGCTGACTGCATTCGGGGTAGACTGGAATGTAATGACCAGGCAGGTACGTGCTGCCTTTGTAGCGGATTAACTAAAGGACTTGAGCACAGGAAATCAGATTGTTCCGGTGCACCAATTCATGTATATCTTTCACAGAGACACTGTAAGAAAACACAGACCAGATGCTTAATAGCTTCATTGATTTTAATTGGGTTTAGTAAGACAATAAATATCCAAAAAGGAAATCCGCCTCCATTTGCCTAATGATTGAAGAGATCAGTGTGTATGATAACAAGAAAGTGATACAGTAGAATAAGTTTGTATGATGAAATATGTCCTGGGAGCTGGTTATTGGAGAAGAGTCACTTCCCATTGAGTACAAATGAGTTGGAAAGAGCCGTAGAATATAGATGTACAAATAAACTCCTTAACAATTGGCAGAACAGGGATTTAAAAGCCTCTATTCATGGATCACAGGTTTTCACTTTTTATGTGCCAGGCTTTATGGCAGAGGTTCTGAAACGCTGTTGCCGAGCCCCCCTTCAGCGCTTCCTGGCTCGTGCTGAAAACAGGAGCGTAAAGCCACGGCGGGGCGAGTGGTGGAAGGGGCTGGCCGCGCCGAGTACAAGCCGATCTGAGACCACAAGGACGTACTCCGAGCAACGAGGCTGCTTACACTGCTGCAGCTACACTTCTATTTTTTTAGCACGTTAGCTCGATCAGACCTAGCGTGGGTATGACTCCTCGAGCTGGAATTTACCCCTCCTGTTCGCCATGTAGACGGACCTACTCATGGACTTGAGGAAGGAAAGCCTTCCCACTACAAGGGACGCTCTCAAGTCGAACACCCCTGATATCCCAGCCCTTCACTCCATCCAGGGAAAAAAACCCGACCACAAGCAGAGTCTTTACCTGGCATGGGAGAAGTGCCAGAAGCTCCAGGAAGCCCACTACGGACTTTGTTATTGCTATTGGATTTTACATGGAAGTTGCTCAAATGCTATGGTGACATGCGGCAGGATAAAACTCTAAGATAGATAAAATAGGTCTGGGGGTGAAATTTTCTGGGCTGTGTCCTACAAGAAGTCAGGCTAGAGCAGTGGTTTTCAACCGGGGGTCCACAGCCTGCGTCTAAGATTTCCAAAGGGGTTTGCACCTCCGCTTGAAACTTTTCAGGAGTCCGCAAATGAAAAAAAGGTTGAAAACCGCTGGACTAGCTGATCTTCAGGATCCCTTCTGGCCTTAAACTTGATGAGTATGTGACTTTAGTGGAGAGATGCTAATTTAGCCAAGCCGAGGCTCTGGTCCAAGGTGTTATGCAATGGTGACCAAGCTCCAGACACTGGTGCATGTTATGTAGCATGAGGGACTTTGAGTCCTTTTTTAAGTGCAAATCTCGATGCAACCTTAACTACGGTGTCACTACCAATGCCCAAATAGTAGTGTGTGTGTGTACCAATTATATTTAAGGCACTGATCTAGTGAAAGTATTGAAGGACCTACTTCACTTTAAACATGTGAATAGCTCTGTTCAAGTCAATAGGAGTCCAGTAAGTTGCATGCTTCAAGTTAAGTGCGAGCTTCAGCACTTTGCTGGATGGGGGAGGCCCAGGCGGTCTATTTTGGAAGTAGATGTAATCCTAAATGTCCAGAAAACTTGCAGTCATGGAAAGCTTATCGGTATCAGCAGGGTGGGCCTTGAAAATGTGACAGCCAGGCAGGAAGATACAAGATAAGGCTCATTCTTTATCTGGCAGTAGTTCCAGGCTCAGTAACTGGGTGGATGCTTTGCGTTACAAACCACCAACCTCCCTCTCAGGCCCTTCTGTGCTGCTAGGCAGGAAGCCGTGATGCTGCTAGAGTGACTTGGAGCCATAGCCAACAAGAAGGCCTGTTACCTCTCCCAGATGCCCCCGCTTCCCCCCGCCCCAGCACTGCCCTAGAGTGGCACTGAATACAGCCTCAGAGGGCTTGAGCCCTGTTTCCCATGCTAAGTGGCAACGTCTGCTCTTTAGTCCACAACAGGAGTGACCAAAGCTCCCTAAAAGGGGGGGAGGGCACCTGAACCGTGGCCCCGCACCCCACGTCCCTTTTCCCCTGAAGCCCCGCCCTCGCACCACCTCTTCCCCCACGACCCCACCCCCTGCTCGCTTATCTCTGCCCCTCCCCCCGTTGCTTGCCTTCACAGCTGGTAAAAAGTGATGGAGCTATGGCTCCTGGTCCCCCTTGTTCCAGCACCCTTGGCCCACAGGTGCAGTTCTCGCTGGCATCAGTGGAAGACGCCCCGCTAGGCGGAGAGTAGCGTTTGCCCTCTCATTTGGAGCAAAAGCCACCCCTGGCCAGAGGGGCAAGAAAATCCCTGTGCCCCAGTGGGAACTGAGGATCTTGCGCTGCCCTCTGTGTGGGATGAATTTCACCCTTGCTTTCATGCAACAGCAGGCAGCTGTTCAGACAGGGAGGCACAGGGCATCCACAGTGAAAAGATGAGCAGCCACAACAGCCAGCTCTTGTCTCCAGTAGTTCCTGAGGGACAAAATTTAATACTCTGGTGTCTGGATAATTTGCCCTCACCACCCCGACTCTATTGACTTCTAGCTGTACTCTGTCTATTGCTGCCGTGTGCTCTAAAATACCCGCGGAGCTCCTCCCAAGAGGCATTTTCTCTTCTCTAGCGGCTGAAGTGAGTCCAGGGTACCTTGCAATGGAGTCTGCAAAGCACCGTATCGGACCCTGTGGGACGGCAGGACCTGTGTGTCTGTCTGTGGCCGTTGTTGTTGGTGTGACAAGTGAACAGGGTACTGGATTGGAGTTCAGGTGGCCTGGGCTCTCGTCCCTTCTGCTTGAGACCTTGGGCAAGTTACTTCCCCTTTTTGTTGCCCCTCGTTCCTCTCCCACCCTTGCTCTGACTTATCAAAGTAGTTGGCAAGCTTTTCAGGGTAAAGACTGTCTCTCACTTGGTGGACATGAATTATTAAAATATTAGACCACAAAAAAAAGAGAAAAAAAAATTTTTTTCGGGGGTGGGAGGGATAGCTCAGTGGTTTGAGCATTGGCCTGCTAAACCCAGGGTTGTGAATTCAAGACTTGAGGGAGCCATTTAGGGATCGGGGGCAAAAATTGGGGACTGGTCCTGCTTTGAGCAGGGGGTTGGACTAGATGACCTGAGGTCCCTCCCAACCCTGCTATTCTATGACATGCAGCATCTAGTACAATGGAGCCCTGATCTCATGTGCTTAAAAGCATTAACGCTGGGAACTGTAGGACAATGCAAAATGTATTTTAGCTGATCGGTGATGTTTGGCGAGCCCTTTGGCTCTTTGAAAACAATGCAGAGATTTCAGTTCATAGTCTGAGTCCAGGAGAAACACAGACCCTCTGCTTCTGTGGTAGTAAATTCAGGAAGGCAACTCAGGGCATAATTAGCAGTTTATTGAATGGCCAGTAATCCCACAATTCACGGTAATGTTCAGGGTGACCTCCAGATGACTCCTGGATGGGATGGCCAGGGGGTTATCTTGGATAGATCAGGAGTCACTGATGCAAGGGTGCAGAACTAGCTGCCAAAGCTAGTGTCCCACCTGACACGGCTTTATTATTTTAAAGCAAGGTGCCGATGGCGGCTGATGCAATCCAGCAAGGTGGCGAGAGGAGGTAGACTGTGTGTGACTAGTTTGCATTGTGTTTTGGGCTGTATGGGTAGGGGAGTTGATCCTTTTCTATCACAGTGTGACACCCAAACAGTACTTCCCTCAGGACACAATTGTACATGGGATTTCGGCCTAAGGGGCTTTAAAGAAACAGAACACAAACTCCTGCTAAATAATAGAGCAATGTGACTGGCCAGGTACCCGTACTCACTTCAGCGCCCTGGGGCAATTGCCAGGCTGGCCGCAGGGGCAAGTCACAGGGAGCACTTTTATGAGCTGGGAAGCTCTAGGGGCTGGTGGGTGGGGGACGACTTCCCATGTGCCCAAAAAGGAAATCAACACCAAGCCATTTGAGCGATGACTGGACGGGGGGGGGGGGGGGGGAGGGAGGAAAGCTGCCTTGAACGCTTCTGATACTGCTTTTTATTTTGCTTTAGAGCAGCTGCCCTTGAGATACTGGTGTGAGCAGAGCCTTTCCCTGTAAAGATCATGCTGTTACTCAAAGGATATTGCTTTATGAAGAGGCTTTCAACAGAAGGTGCCTCCATCTTTCACACGCAAGGCTTCCCGCCCGGCCAGCCATGGTAGCACCAACAAAACATTTATTACCATTTGCATTATGGCAGCACCGAGACGCCTCAGGGTTCCCGTTGCCCTATGCGCTATAAATACATCCCTGCCTCCAAGACCTCGCTATCTAAATAGACAAAACAATAATCCTTCCTTTATCTCCGTTTTGCAGATAGAGAAACTGAGGTCATAGTCACACAAAGAGCCAGGAATTGAACCCAGATTCCCTCAGTTTACATCCAGTACCTTAGCTACAAGACCATCTAGTCTCTTGAACGTGCCACCAATTCATCATGAGCAGCTTTAGTAAGGGAGAGCCAGTTACAGTTGGTGTCATAAATAACGGGTTCAATATTTCTGTCTATTTTCCTTTCAGAAACCCACGATGTCCACCCTGACGCTTCCAGGCTAGGAGTCTGCCTTGGGACGTGCCGCTGCCCTTTTAAACCTGGCCACCCCAGCCCAGAATGGCTTTGTGCCTCAACCAAGTTTTCAACAAAGACAAAACCTTTCGCCCCCGTAAGAAATTCGAGCCCGGCACCCAGCGGTTTGAGCTGTACAAGAAAGCCCAGGCCTCTCTCAAATCTGGGCTGGATTTGAAGACTGTGGTCCAACTGCCTCCTGGGGAGAATATCAATGACTGGATAGCGGTGCATGTGGTTGACTTCTTCAACAGGATAAACCTTATCTATGGGACGATGTCGGAGTTCTGCACCGAGAAGAGCTGCCCAATCATGTCTGGTGGGCTCAAATATGAATACAGGTGGCAGGATGATCACAAGTACAAGAGGCCGACCAAGCTCTCGGCACCCCAGTACATGTGTATGCTGATGGAATGGATCGAGATGCTCATTAACAATGAGGACATCTTTCCTACCAGGATAGGTAAGTGGACTGTAGTTCTTACATTCAGACAACAACTACTGTGATCATTTCGTCTGGCCTTCTGCATAACACAGGCCAGAGAACTTTACCCAGGGATTCCCACATCCGCCCCCAACAGCTTGTGGTTCCTCATAGATTTTAAGGCCAGAAGGACCATCATGATCATCTAGTCTGACCTCCTGCACATCACAGGCCACAGAACCTTACCCACCCACTCCTGTAATAGACCCTAATCTCTGGCTGAGTTACTGAATTCCTCAACTCATGATTTAAAGACTTCAAGCTACAGAGAATCCACCATTTACACTAGTTTAAACCTGAAAGTGACCCGTACCCCATGCTGCAGAGGAAGGCGAACCCCCCCCAGCATCTCTGCCAGTCAGACCTGAGAGAAAATTCCTTCCTGGTCCCAGCTTTGGTGATCAGGTAGACCCTGAGCATGTGGGCAAGACCCACCAGTGAGATACCTGGGAAAGAATTCTCCCCCTCATCAGCTATTGGAGATAGGCTGTCTGGTTTTGTAGGCAACCTCATCATACCATCCCCTCCATAAACTTATCAAGCTCAGTCTTAGACCGCAGCATATCTTTTAGCCAATCATCCTGCCATGATGTTGTATAAACTCAAAGGGATGGAGAATCCAGCACATCACCAGCATGTTTCCATGGATAATTATTTTCTCTGTTGAAGTTTTGCATTTTCTTTTTAACACTCATTGGAAAGGCGAGGAAAATATGCCAGCTTTGTCCTGCAACCAGCTTAATGAAGTGACACTATGAACTCCCAGTCTGTTGAATCCTTTCCCCCCTACATATGGTGCTTTGTGGAAGTGGGGGACTCTTAGCACTCTTTAGAGCCAGGCAGGATGTGTGGACTGGTGCTACTCAAGCATCCTGTACATAGCTGTGGCAATGCACTCCACCCCAGACCTATGGCATGCCCTGCTATTCCACTCCTAGGCCTACCTGTGGCCTACAAGGACATGTGGCTTTTTCAGTGAGGACAAATCTCCACCAGGAGAATAGGATGTGGCCCACCACAAACAGTTGTTCTTATAACCTAACCCAGTTCCCAGAGGGGAAAAGTTTGTGAACTAACCCTCTTTATTGCCCATCCTGCAGATTTAATCCTCGTTACCCCTGTGGGTAACTATGGTGATAATATCACATATGCTAATCAAGTTCATTTGCCTTCTTTGGGGAGATCAGGGATTGGAGTCTACTGGGTTTGCCAATTGGTGTCAGCGATTCGTTATTCGGTCTGACAGACACATACCAGCAATCCTGTTTCCATACAGATGGCTCTCGCTGTTTTCAGTGTCTTCATGGAGCACACGGATTCCATAAATAAATTTCTCCCTAGATAGCAGTCGGTCCTCTTCATGGTGCAGTTGTACTGAACCCAGCTGCCAAGCCCACATGGCGCTCTTGGAAGCGGTTCCTTTTCCGATGAAATGAGCAACGCGTGATTTTATTTATTTATTTATTTATTTAACTTTTTTGTCCTCCTCCAAAGGAAGTTTTAAGAATCTTAAGACATAGCGATCATCCTTCCAGTGAAACACAGCCCTTGGCGAGTCTTCCTTGACATTATTGCTTTCCAGAGGGGCATGGGCTCGTGAATCTGAATCAAGTCACTGCAGCTGAGGGTTCCTATTTTAGTTATCTTGGTGGGAAAGCCATAGGAATCTGGGATGGAAAAGACCGGTGCAGGATTATTGAGCTCCCTGCCTGCCCTGGCCCCACGCTGCTCGCAGAAGTGGCTGGCACATCCATGCCTTGTGTGGTGCCCACACCCCGAGTGCCGGCTCCACGGCTCCCATTGGCCAAGAGCTGCCTTAGCCCCACTGCGCCCCTGCCCGGGAGCTGCCCGAGGTAAGCAGGGCCAGGGGACTCCACACGCTGCCCCCTCCACACGCTGATCCCGGCCCTGTGGCCCCTGGGGGGGGGGCATGGAGCTCTGCATGCCGCCCCTGCCTTCAGGCACCGCCCCCAGAGCTCCCATTGGCCGCAGTTTCCAGCCAATGGGAACAGCGGAGTTGGCACTCGGGGTGTGGGCAGCGCGCATAGACTCTTAGCCTCCCTGCAGGGGCTGCAGGGACGTTCTGCAAGTGGTGTGGGGCCAGGGCAGGCAAGGAACCTGTCTTAGCCCCGCTGCACCGCCGGACAGTTAGCAGCCTAAAATCTCCCAGTTTGGCTTCAGTAGCCTCTGAGAGATAGGGCCTGATTCCAGGAGACTCTTGGCAAAACCAGGAGGGTTGGCAACCCTACCACCAGCCAGGCCATCAGCTGGCATGAGCAGCAGCACGACCCCTGAGCAACTGGCCAGCTGGAGCAGCGGCCTGGGCCACTGGCTCACCCGAGCCGCCCCTGGCTACCAGCCAAGCCCCAGGCTCCTGGCCAGAGCTGAGGCTTGTGGGGGGGGGGGGGGGGGGAGCGAGGGCAGGGCCTCTGGGCGGAGCATACCTTTGATACCTGCCGCACATGCCAACAGGTGTGTTCTTAAGCCCAACAGCAGCATTAGGCTAATGGCTGCTCGAAGCATTCCCCCACTGTGGTGGTAGCTACCATGTCTGCTTGTTCTCAGCCTTGCTCCCGCTCTGGATCCAGCCTTGCCTTACTCCAGGTAAACTGGCTCTGACACTGGTCTCCTAATCCTGGCTACTGACTTCTTCTCCAGCCATGAGCCTGGCTGCTTACATCCCAGTCTCTGGCATAAACAGGTAACCTGACTTTCAGAAGTGTAGATCAGCCAGCAGTTCCTTCCAGCCCTGGGATGTGCTGGGCCCTTCGAAAAACCAGGCTGCTTATTTAGATGCCTAAATATGGATTTAGGAGGCTAACTTTAGGCCTGCATTATTGCAAACCTTCAGCTGGGCTCTCTAATAATCACAAAATATCATGCTAGCTTTTGTTTGTCATCACCACAGTATCTGAGTGCCTTCCACGTGAGATTGGTAGCAGCAGTGAAGTCTCTAATGGACTACATGGAGTCTCTTAGCCCCAGAAAGAGAGATGTGCAAAACTCTGCTTGGTTGTGGGGCGGTAGGGTAGTTTCAGGTTCTTGTTTTTTATTTCGGGAGTGCAGGAGGGGGTGGGCCAGAGGGGGTCTCTTGCAAGGCAGGTTACAGCTGGTCATTTAGTTTTGTGGGTGATCTTGGTAGTTTAAAAATTCGGTTTTGTTCTGATTCAGAATGAAAGTCAAAAATGTCAAAATTCTCAGTGGAAAGGCAAAGCCCTGGGGTTCCCAGCCCTGGAGTTCCCAATCCTAGGGCAGCCCACCTGGCTGCTTCCCTACAGCCACAGATGCTGGAAACATAGGGGGAGCAATGAACCTGAGTGGCCAGGCCTCTGTGGTCTTAGCTCCCTGTCGTTCTATCAGGCGGGCTACTGAGGAGCCAGGTGGGTCAACTGACAGAACTCTGCCTGGCAGATGGGGCTCTGGAGGAGCCCTGTCTACGTTCTGCCCCAGCTTTGTCAAACTATCTCCGCAAAACCGTTCGATCTAGGTGAATTGGCCAATTCTGACGATAGCTGGTCGAGAAAACCCTAATGAAATATTCGATGACCACTTTTTTTTTTTTTTTGCTTCCCAAAAGCTTTTCCCGTGACAGTCATCCCAGAACCCCTCTGTACTGGGCTGTTTCTGGGTTTTTTTCAGTTGTCCAGTTGCCAGCTATTTTTCACCTGCACCACTGTGTCCTAGTCAGTGCCATAGAAACACATTCCATTCTGCAGAAACCCACTGGGGTTCAGAGAAAGCCATTACTGATGGACCTCCAGGAACAAGCAGAATGTTCTCATGCTCAGAACCCCTCTCCTGAGTCTCTCAAACAGCGACATGGAACTGACAATGGCGGTTTGTGGGCGTTCTGGCTGATAGAGAATATGGGTCTGTATCCATTGAGCCCTGCGAGGGGATCTGTGCTGTCTACACTGCAATTAAACAGCCCCTTAGCTCAAGCCCCGCAAGCCTGAGTCAGCTGGCATGGGCCAGCAGCAGGTGTCTAATTGCAGAGTAGACATACGTTGAAAGGTTGGAGCCTTTCGTCACACGACATTGTCAATAATTCCCCAATTAATGACTCTGACAAACTGAGGTTAATTACTTTGTAGTTTTGGCATTGCAGAAGATGGAGCTGCCTGGCCAAAAGGGAAATGCCACATTTATTTGTTTCTGATGAGGGCTCTTTCATTTTATGAACTCAACAATAGAACGAGTTTGGGTGAGAGCGACAAGGCAGGGGCATTGGAGCCAGTCGAAGGAATGAAAGCACATAAACAAAAGAAGATGCTCAATGTGGTCTACAAAGAACCAGACCTTGTAAGGCAGCCTGAGGGATACACTGGGAATGGATCAAGGTGGTGTGAAGGGAAGACGTGGGGCAGGGGAAATCTGCAGAATTCAGAGATGTTAAAAGCCAGGAGGGACAATTATGATAGTCTACCCTGGCCTCCTCTATCACACAGGCCATAAAATCTGAAAAAATGCCTGCATCAAGCCCATCACTTCTGTTGGAGCGTATCAGGGCCAGGGGGTTGGCAGTCTGGCTTCGGGGTTAGCATTAGATGCTGGCTGAGGGTCCAGGAGCCGATTACCAGAAATCAGGCCTGGTTGGAACACCAGGAGATCAGAACTGAGAGACGAACCAGAGGGCAGGGATCATGAGTCAGTTACCAAGACTCCAGACACCAGGAGGTCTGATCAGAAGGCAAGACCAGGCGAACACCAGACCAGTGGTCCATGGCAGAGTGAAGCCCTATGGTACAGATGACTACCTATTTCCTCCTCTGGCTTAAATAGGGGCTGCAGCCCACTCAGGAGCTTGCCCAATCAGAGCAGAGGGGTGGGGCTTGTGCCCTTGGGCTTCATGGGCCCCAGTCCCAGCTGCTATCTCAGCTGCCAGTGGAGGGCTGGAGTGTGATGAAATCCGGGTCCATGTTGGGAGTTGAGACCCCTGGGGCCTGACAGAGCTATAGCAGAGCTTCCAGAAAGAAATC